CAGCTTCTCTCTGATCTCCCCCTCCCACTTCCTCTGAATTTCCTCTTCCCACCAAGTCTCCTTGCTACTTTTGTAAAGCATTGGTAAACACGTTCCCTGCTGTACTCCGTCACCTGAGGGAGCAAAGAAGAAAAAAATGGTTTGTGCCCAGAATTTAATTTAGACGTAGAAGAGTTTCCTGAAGGTAAGACTTCTTAATCCATTAAAAGGGGAAAGGAAGTGGCCGGGACAGACGCAGCTGGGCGGTGTGCAAAGTTTAATGGTGGAGAGGATTTGAAGGTGGAAAATAAAAGATTTCTACAGAGCGCTACCTAGGATACAAATTGCCTTGGTACTGACTCTGAGAGGCTGTCAGTTAACACACACACACACACACACAAAGACAAGGTTCTGAGGGGAGGGAAGAAATAGAAACTCAGATTTCAATCATTCATTCATTCATTATCCACACATTATCGATTGCTCATTACAAGTCCAGCATTGTGCAACGTGTCCAGCTTTGCTCTTGACAGATTTACAGTTCAGTCAGGAGAGATGAAACAAGGATATGAAATCACTTCAGAAGCCAAGCAGCCTAATTCACTCATTCTGGAAGGAACCAGAATGTCTGGGGCTGATGAGAACAAACTTCCTGAAGACTGGTCTTTGAGATTTAAGAAAGGTGCCTGTGGCCGGGAAGATGATTTAGCAAGGTAATGGTGCTGCTGTCAAATCTGGCAACCTGAGTTCGAGACCCACATGGTGAATGGAGAAAACGGACTACCACAAAATTGTCCTCTGACATCAAACATCTGCACAGATACAGTCACATACAAAATAAATAAAAATGTAGTCATCTCTAAGAAAGAAAAAGAGAGCAGGGCGATGGTGGCGAACGCCTTTAATCCTAGCACTTGGGAGGCAGAGGCAGGCAGATTTCTGTGAGTTCGAGGCCAACCTGGTCTATGGAGCGAGTTCCAGGACTGGTTCCATAGCTACTGAGAAACCCTGTCTCGAAAAAACAATAAGAAAGAAAGAAAGAAAGAAAGAAAGAAAGAAGAAAAGGAAGAAAGGAAGAAAGAAAGAAAGAAAGAGATAAAGAAAGAGAGTTAGAGAGATGGCTAAGTGGTTAAGAGCACTGGCTGCTCTTCCAAAGAACCTAAGTTCAATTTCCAGCACCCACATGGCAGTTACTATCTGTAACTCCAGTTCTAGGAGATTTGACACCCTCACACAGATATACATGTGGACAAACACAAATACACATAAAATAAAAATAAATTATTTTTTAAAAAATTAAAAGAATGAAAGAAGATTTACAAGCAGGCAAAACACCTGTATTCATAAAATAATAATAAAAAGTTCAAGGGCTGGAGAGATGACATTAGTGGTTAAGAGCACTTGCTGTTCTTCTAGAGGCCCTGGGATCAGTTCCTAGCACTCACATAGTGGTTCACAACCATCTGTAATTCCAGTTCCAAAGGATATGACCCTCTGTTCTAAACTCCAAGGACACCAGGCATGCACATGGTACACATCTATACATGTAAGCAAAAACATTTGTACACATAGAATAAAAGACATCTTTTTTACTAAGGGTAGAAAGGAGACAGACATGTTGGTACACTTAATCCCAGTGCTAGGGAGGTAGAGGCAAGAGGATCAGTTCGAGGCCAGCCTGGTTGGTCTACCTAGTGAGCTCCAGTACAGCCAGGACTACATAGAGAGACCCTGCCTCAAAAAGAAAGAAACAGGGCTGGAGAGATGGCTCAGCAGTTAAGAGCACTGACTGCTCTTCCAGAGGACCCGGGTTCAATTGTTCGATTCCCAGCATCCATATGGTAGCTCGCAGCTGTCTGTAAGTCCAGTTCTAGGGGATCTGGCACCCGAGATACGAAATTTCTAGATACATTCATAGAGATACGTTCAGGCAAAACAGCAGTGCACATTAAACAGAAGAGACAAAGGGAGAGAGGTGGCGGTGCCTGGAGAGATGCCCGAGCAGTTAGAGCATAGGCAGCTCTTCCAGAGTGCCTTGCATCATTTAATAGAACCCCAGTTCCAGGAACTCTGATGTCCTCTCCTGGCTTCTAAGGGCACCAGGCACACATGTGACCTACAGAAATATACATGCAGGCAAAATACCCATACACATATTTTTTTTTAATTTTTCAGAAAGAGGTTGGGGTGATGATGGTTCAGTAGCTAAAACACCTGCTTTGAAAGCAAGAAGACCAGAGTTCAAATCCCCAAAATAAATGCCAGGTGCAGGCTTGCCTGTAGTTCTCTTCTCTATCTTCCCTCCTCCTGCACCAAGTTAGTTAATGCAAGTAGCCTTGTTTGTAGGCTCTGGATTTAATTGAAAGAGTAAGGGGGATGAACCATCAAAGAAGATCCCCAGTGTCATTGTTGGATCACTATATGTACGTGCATCTGCAAGCACACACATGTGAGCTCATGCACATGCAAACACGCACAAAGAGATGCATGCATTCTACACGCACATACACATGAAAAAACAATTTTAAGCCAAGCAAGGTGATGTGCACGGTTGATCCCAGTACTTGAGGGACAGGAAGGCAGGTCTCTGTGAGTTTAAGGCCAGCCTGTTGGGGAGCTGGGAGGTGTGGTTTAATGATTGATCACTTGCCAAATATCTGCATGATCTTGGTTCAACTCGTAGAGAGAAAGAGTTAAGTTAAAATGAAAATAAAGGAAGGTGCCTTTATTATTGTGCAGTCTTTGGTTGATATTATAACCATCTATCCAACACCTATTCTCCCCACTTCCTTGCCAACTAATTTCTGGTCTTGCTTCAAGCTTCAGATACAACCCCCATACACACACACACACACACACACACACACACAACTTTTTTAAATGGAATGACTCAATTCTGGCCAATGAGAGCTGAGTTGAGGATACTGTGTAGAGCTGTCCCATTTGTCAGATTTCCTTTCCTCCTCTTGTCTAAACTGCAGACAGGTGTCTAGAGGCAACAACTGTCTTCTTGTGAAAAGAAGGCAGTTTCTTTTTTCTCTTTCTTTTTTTTTTTTTTTTTGAGACAGGGTTCCTCTGTAGTTTTTGGAGCCTTGGAGCCTGTACTGGAACTTGCTTTGTAGACCAGGCTTGCCTTGAACGCACAGAGATCCGACTGCCTCTGTCTCCCGAGTGCTGGGATTAAAAGTGAGCGCCACCACTGCCCAGCAAGAAGGCAGTTTTTTATGATGAGACAGGAGTTTGCCTATATGCCTGATGGCATGGTGGTCCTGTGAGACCAGCCTCAGACAGCCTGAGGAAGAAAAACACAAACCTAGAAACATAATTTCTGCCTGATAATCTAGCCTGCTTATTTCATAGAGAAGAGACTGACCCGATCAAATTCCATAAACCTCTGGGCAGAGTGTATCAAGATTTTTCTTGCCCATCCTGGCACATGTACCTGTAATCTCAACTCTTAGGAAGTGGAGGCAGAAAGATCAAGAGTTCAGGTTGTGCTTGGCTATATCAGGAGGTCAGCCAGCACTAAAAGAGAGTCTGTCTCAACTTTCCCTGAAAATAAAAACCCCATGAAAACTGAAGTTCCTACACTGTGGGTAGGCGCCTCAAGAGAGGGTTGAGTTGTGAGCGCTGGGTGGCTTAGTTTATGGCGTCCTGTAATGGAAGAGGGATGACCCATGAATTAAGGTATAGAAAAAGGGGGGAAATCCAGAAGTAGTTGGGATTTTCCTGGAATAAAGTTTAATCTTCCTTTTGCTTTTTATATGAGGTTTACCTGACGTAGCATGGAGTCAGGCGTGTGATGGGAACAGGCAATTCTGCAAGGTTAATGATATGGTTATGCCATTATTCTGAAGCAAAGTTAGTGTGGGTCACCTTGGCTGTCTATGTTGGTCCCAGCCTGTGTGGGATGGTCTTGTGTTTGATTATGTGTTCTAGAACATCTGAAAAAAAACAAAGCAATAAGCTTTAGTTTCTGAAACATATGAGTATAATAGAAAAAAAAATCTATCTAGAGGAATTGAAGCTGGGTAAAATGGTCCCCACACTGAAGGTCAAGATTGCTTTGGGATTTAGGATTGATCTGCTTTTGAGGAAAGATGCAGGTTCCATCTTTCTCTTCCTTTAAGAGGGACAGTTCTCAGCCTATGAGTTGAGACCCTTTCACAGGTTGCCTAAGACCATAGGAAAACACCGATATTTACATTACAAATCACAACAGTAGCACAATTACAATTATGAAGTAGCAATGAAATAATTTTATGTGGTTAGGGTCACCATGACATGAGGAACTGTATGAAAGGGTTGCAGCCTTAGGAAGGCTGAGAACCACCGTTCTAGATAGGGAGCATATTGGTCTAAGTGTCTATGTGGGTCTGCTTTACTTTCTCTGTTTCTTTTTCCTTTGGTCTGAGTTTGACTCCAAGCCTAGTTGTGTCTCTCAGAATTCCTTCTTTTTCATATCCCTCTGTATAAAAAAGCTTTCAGGCTGGGGCTGTAGTTCAGTTGGTAGAGTGTGTACTTAGCATCTACAAGGTTGTGGGCTCTGGGTACCCACATAAACTGGATCCCTGTCACTCCAGGACTTGGGAGGTAAAGGCAGGGAGAACAGCTCAAGGTCATCCTTGGCTACCTAGTGAATTTGAGGCCAGCCTGTGCTACACCAGGCTCTGTCTCAGAACAAAAAGCAAAGTTTTAATAGACACATGGTTCATATAGACCGTCTGCTCATTCTTTACAACTCTACTTCAGCGGCTCAGGGCTAAGCTCAGAGTTTCTCAGTCTGTTTTGTACCTTTTTTCTATAGGCCCTGAACCTTGGTCCAGGCTTACAGAGCCAAGTCCGGGTTCACTATCGCCCGAGTCTCCCTCAAGGGTTTGCATACTTATCTATCCTCTTCGCAGCCACCGTTGCGCCCTTTTCTTCCTTCTTGCTTTCTGTCTCCACTCCCACTTCCTATAAAAATTATTGGTCTTCCCTCTCTATCTTCTCTACCCTGGGAGCAGCTCTCTTGCCTTGGCCCCTCACCCCTGAAAATGTATGCCTGTTCCAGGTTCATCTCCACCCGCTCCTTGGTCAGGAGCACCTCTCAGCGTCTGAGCCGTCCTCTGTCTGCAGTGGAGCTGAACCCACAGACACGGAGAGATGAGGCCCTCAGCTGCTTAGCAGTCCCTCGTCCTCTGACCTCACTCGTCCCTAGCCGCAGCTTCCAAACCAGTGTCATTTCCAGGGACATCGACACAGCCGCCAAGTTCATTGGGGCTGGGGCTGCTACTGTTGGGGTGGCTGGCTCTGGGGCTGGGATTGGAACTGTTTTTGGGAGCCTCATCATTGGTTATGCCAGGAACCCTTCTCTGAAGCAACAGCTCTTCTCCTACGCCATTCTGGGCTTTGCCCTCTCGGAGGCCATGGGGCTCTTTTGTCTAATGGTGGCCTTTCTCATCCTCTTCGCCATGTGACGCAGCTATCTCCACTTCACCTCCCGTAGTTCTTTTGTGTCCCGTCTGCCCTGTAAGTTCCTTTTCCTGTACCTCCCCAGGAAGTCTGGGGAAAGTGATTGGCTCAGGGGTTTGACAGAGAGAAGACAAATAAATACTGTACTAATAAGATGAAAAAAAAATTATTGGTCTTTAGAATTCCTGCACCTCTTCCCCATTCACTTATTAAGAAAAACGGGCGTGGAACGGCTTAAACATTAATGCTGGAGCAGGCCTGGGGTGAACACTGTGCATATCAGCATATATTCTTTCTTATCAACCTATTCTTTCCCAAGTTTAGGCAACTGGTATTTACTTTGATTTCCTACTAGTAAGCCATAGGTCCAAGATCACTAATTTTCTGTTCAGTCTTTATCCTCCCAGATAACAGTAGAACGTCTCTGGAATGATTCACCTCCATTGTTGTTTGCTTCTCTGCTTTTTTGGGGGGTGAGGTGAGAGGTGGATTAAGCTACTGGAGCCCATTGAAGAGAACCCTTAGTTTCTGAGGCTTTCCCCTCTTCCTCATGCTCACCATGTCGCTAATTACTGATTTCCTTTTGTCAGCGCTACTTCTGTGTCTTGTACACAGAATTTCCTCTTCCCATTTTTTCCCTCTCTCCTCTAGGATCCCATGAGCTCATGTCAAGCCTGAAACTATTGGGTTTTGTCTCACACGGTTGCCACTATTATTCTTTAAAAATGCAACTGTGGGGGCTGGAGAGATGGCTCAGTGGTTAAGAGCACTGACTGCTCTTCCAGAGGACCTAGGTTCAATTCCCAGCACCCACATGACAGCTAACAACTATCTGTAACTCCAGTTCCAGAGGATCTAACACCGCCACACCAATGTACATAAAATAAAGTTAAATAAATTATAAAAAATATTTAAAAAAATGCAACTGTGGTCAGCCATTGTCTTTTTGACAAACCTTTGGGCTTCCCCAGTGCTTCCAGAATAAGCAACAAAATCCTGGGCACAGTGTCCAAGGCCTTCTCCTCAGTGTTTCTCTCACCTCCTTGGCTTCTTCCAGCCTGGTAATCTCCTCCTCCTCCTCCTCCTCCTCCTCCTCCTCCTCCTCCTCCTCCTCCTCTTCCTCCTCCTCCTCATTTATGCCCCGGCAGTGCTTAAGCATACATGGGTAGCCCGTTTATGGCGGTTCTCCAGTTGTTCCTATCCTGGGCAGTCCTAGATGCTTGTGTTATTTGTCATACCCAAGGTTCCAGTCTTCCTTTATGCTGTCTATCCAGCGTTTTTTGTGCCTTCCTCTTTGCTTTATCCCATGCACTCCTCCAAACAGTGCTATCTTTGGGTATCTGCTGTCATTTTCGTAACATGGCCGAAGTGTCTCAAGCACTGTTACCATATCCTGTAGTTTACTTCCTTCTATAGATGGAGCTATTTCTTAATGTCGTCATTGTGCAGCCTATCTCTTTGTGTGATGCCTAGAATCCTCCTGAGACATGCCATCTCAAACACATTCAGCCGCTGTTCTGAGGAGCACTTCATCATCCAGGTTTCAGAGTTGTAAAGTCAGCTCAAGACAAGTGTCTCATACACTTGTAATTTTGTTGTTGTTGTTATGTCTCTTGCTGTCCAAACCTCTCCTAGTGTCTGGAATGCAACCCTCGTTATCCCTATCTGCCTCTTGATGTCTGAATAGTTCCTCCTTTGAACTGAGGGAACTATTTCACTTACTTCACTTACCAAATAGTGGTGGAAGTTAGTGAAAACCTTGGTATGAAAGTAAACATCGAGAAGATTGAGATACAACACATGGGAAGGGCACACATGGATTCTAACATTGTAATAAAGAATCAGAACCTCAAGCAAACAGCTTTGTCTATCTGGTAATCTCTTACCCAGAAGAAATTCTTTCTTCCTTTTTCCTTCCTTCCCCCCCCCCCCCCCCCCAACAGGGTTCTCATGTATCACAGGCTGGCAGGCTGGTCTCACTCAACCAGCTCAGCAACGACAATCCTAAAATTCTGATGGACTTATAGGCCTGACCACTTTACCCAGTTTTGGGGTGCTGTGGATAGAGATTAGGGTTCTGTGAAAGCTGGCCAGTACTCTACCAACCAAGGTACACCCACCAGGTCCCAATATTAAATTCTGACCAAAATGTCAACAGATGGCTACTAGCGGACTTATTTCATCCTGTCTGGGTTCTGAAACCATGCGCTCACTATCAATTATAAGCTATTTAAGGAAAGGATTTTTTTTTTTTTTTTTTTTTTTTTTTTTTTTGGTTTTTCGAGACAGGGTTTCTCTGTGGTTTTGGAGCCTGTCCTGGAACTAGCTCTTGTAGACCAGGCTGGTCTCGAACTCACAGAGATCCGCCTGTCTCTGCCTCCCGAGTGCTGGGATTAAAGGCATGCGCCACCACCGACCTGAAAGGATTGTCTGCCATTTTTTTTTTTTTTTTGTGTCGAGTTGATCCCAGGTCTTAGAACACGCTAGGGACAAACTCTTTCACTGAGCCCCTCTACCCTCCAGACCCATGTTTTACCCATTTTCCCTCCCTGAAGGGTACATGTATGTATGCGGCTGTGCCAGCAATTTGGGCACAGTGTTACAGAAAGCCATCAGACAGAACAATTAGCATTCTCGGAAGCCAGGCCTGGGAACTCACACTTGTAATTCCAGCATTTGGGAGGCTGAGGCAAGAAAGAGGATTTTGTCAAGTTTGAGGCCAGCCTGGGCTAATAATAAGATCTTATTTTATATATATATGTGTGTGTGTGTGTGTGTGTGTGTAAAAGGTATTTTGTATGTGTGTGTTGGCTCAGCAGGTAAAGGTGCTTGCCATACAAGCCTGACAGCTTGAGTTGAAACTTCAAAACCCATATGAAGGTCAAAGGAAAGAGCTGATTCTACAAAGTTGTCCTCTTGTGACAGAGCATGTGGGCATATGCAAGCACGTGGGGGTGAGCGCATGCGCGCGCACACACACACAGATAAATAAAATGGTTCAGTGTAGTGGTACAAGTCTTTAATCCTAGCACTCGGGAAGCAGAGGCAGGTGGAGCTCTGTGGAATCTAAGGCCAATCTAGTCTATATAGTGAGTTCCAGGACTGCCAGGGCAATACAGAGACATCTTGTCGCAAGCAAATGAAAACAAACTAATAAATGAAATACTTAAAACTGTTGAAGAGTTCAGGATGAGTTTACATAGGTAGGGCATTTTACCTTAGCTGATTTTGAATACAAAGGGAATTTTTTTTTTCGAGACAGGGTTTCTCTGTAGTTTTGGTGCTTGTCCCGGAACTAGCTCTTGTAAACCAGGCTGGCCTCGAACTCCCAGAGATCCGCCCACCTCTGCCTCCCGAGTGCTGGGATTAAAGGTGTGCACCACCACCGCCTGGCTACAAAGGGAATTTTTATAGGTGGAGAAGGTAAATGAATAAATAGATATTCCAAGTTTCATGTTTTATAATTACATTCTAACACCATTTACAGATCTTTTGTGAATTTCTTCCCATGTTTGGGGCAGGACCCAGTCTTTTAAATTTCTTATTCAGCTGAAACAAATGCCTCTTAGGCAGAATATGTTATTTCTAAAGTTAGTCCAGTTTATCCAATAACTTTACCTCAGCCCTTGAACCGGGGCTTAGCTGTGGATGACCAATTTGACTATTTTATCACCGCATCCTTAACCAGAACATCTCACCATAATCCTCGGTAAAGTGGAGGAAAAGACACCTGTTGTTTTTCCAACCACCCGCTGACAAGGTCCAGTGAGGCGCAGGTATTCCTTGGAATATTTGCATCAACACATCACAGCCCTGGTGCATTACATTATCGACAGGAGTGTGCTGGGACTTTGCCCTGCAATATCTGGCTCCTTTCACCCTTCGGAAGCTGCTGCTGCAGCGAAGAGAGAGTGGGAGAAGAAAGAATGCGGTGTGTGGAGACGGCATTCCTTTCTTTATCCCTCTATCAAACGGAGTGAAAAGCAAACAGAGTTTATTGTAGATGCCACTAAAGCTTTCTTGCCTAGTACTTATCACAGTGCAGGGGTTTGTTTACGGGGTAAATGACCAGGCTGAGTTTTCCTCTTAGATCTTTGTTATCTCCCAACCCCTAGAAAAGTCCTGACATTCATTTGTGGAACAAAGAAAATGGATTTGCTTCATGTAGAGGAATTTTTTTTTTCACATTTTCTGGATTATATATCTTTCTTGCAGAAAACTCAAGAAGGCTAAACTTTTAACCTTTGTTTGCTTCCCAAAGGAAGGATACATGTAGCTACTGAATGAAAAAAAGAAAGAAAGAAAAGGAGACATGACTGCTTCTCCTAGGTATGGTGGAGATGGAGGTTTATTGTAGATAAAAGAGCGAGCACAGCCAGAGAAAGAGACATCAGAGTGAATAGGACCCTGAACTGAGCCAATGTGGAAAACGAGGAGGGGAAAGCCAGGAAACCAGGGAGACCAAGAGACCAGGAGCATAAATGGTAAAAAAAGGACTGGTGTAGCCAAAATGGCTGGACTATATAGGGAAAAACTGCTGGGGATAAGGATAAGTAGACCCTGGCCTGGAGCTTTTACGATAGGGGGCAGGGTATGCCAGTCATACCTTGTGACAGGTTGGGACTGAGGTTGGGAGAACCTGATGGCCAAGTCTGCTTTGATTTGTTAAATAGGCATCTCAGTTAGCCATTTGTCTTGGCTTATAGAATTTATTTACCAGTTTAGAGAGCTGATAAAGGCCTTGAAGTAAAGCAGCGGACCTCTAGGTAAAACCCAGTTTGAGGAGCGAGAGAAAAAGGGACTCCTAACACCTCTGCCAGGTCATAAGCTTGGTCAAACTAGCATCACTGCTGAGAGGGGTACTAGTTAGATGCAATAAATAACTAGAGGTGGAAAAGGACTTTTTCAAAGCCAGTCAGAATAAGAACTTGCTTGTAATCTGCATGCTTGACTGGTGTAGAGTTGGGAGAATTTAAAGAACATGTGTCCTTTCTGGCTTATTATTATTTTTATGTGTGTATGGTTTATGT